GCAGGTTTCAGAACGGAAGTCGAGTCAGGTAACTGCTAGTCTCATGCTGCTCACTGCGGAGGCAGCGGGCCCTTTACAAGGATACCAGGTATCGCTGGAGGCCACGGACCCACCTCCTGCTGGCTGTGATCGGGACTGTCGGTGAGAGCATCGGTGAGCCGTTACATTCAGATTCGTTAGCCTGGAAATTAGGTGATAATTTCAGCACAGTAGGACACAAGTCTCTCTATTCAAATTGCTTCGACATTTTTCTGCTCTCCATTTGCAGGTACATTTCATTATGTGTTGGTTCATTTTTCTCATTTTATACGGAATTTTACCAATCTTTGTATATTCGAGGTAGCATAAAACGGTCATCGTCACATTAAGCTGGCAACGTTTTGAAGGAAGGCAAATAGAAAATAACTGTTGTGATCGATCCCTTGATGATTGCTCATGATGTCAACTCTTGCAGTATTCGGCCATTTTGCACGATTTGTGCTCTTTCGGTTTTATGCGGCTTGCGTATATAATTTTGTTCCTCTTGAAAGACGGACCTGTTTCTGAAAATTTTGGAATGATTCTTTCAAAATAAAGACGGAACAAAAGTTTTGATGAAGCGGCCTTTGAAAGCCGTAGTCCACCAAAAGCGGAAAATGCAGATTTGGTCATCCTTAAAATGAAAATTTTTCGCGGGCCGGGGCGGTGTAGTCAACTTACCCCCTGCAGTAATTAGCACAAGTAAACAAAAGACGAAAATGATTCCAGCCTATCAATTATCGATTTCGTGCGTTAAAACAGAAAAGCATGTTTGGTGAACGGCAGGAAGAGGAAAATTGTGCCTGCAATTCCAATGCCAGTCGATTGCCAGTAGTTTTGGACACAACACAATGGACTTTGTTTAAACATGTCCTAATGGGCCATTTTTAAATTGAACTCCTGCATCCGTTCATCACCCCCCAACCAAAAGTAGAATCGTAGCTTGCTGTGAGTGTTCAGTACATCCGCAGAAAATTAAAAAGGCGTCGAATTTCTAGGGCGTATGCGAGTGGCGTGGTCAAGGGGCGCACGAGGTGCCCTGACTATCTGGACGCAGGTATGTCCAAGAGGGGAGCCGATCGAGTAGTCAGCGAGTCTGAAAACGCGCGCAGCTAAGTTGAATGACCTTGAAGCAGCGTGACCTTGAGCAAGGAAGCCGGACAACGTAGTGGTGGCTATCGGTAGCCGACCAACTACTTGAAATAAGCCACTTATTTTAGCCTTCTGGACAGGCGATCCAGTAGGCGCCTTCGAACTCACATCCAGATGGCTCCAATAAAAATCAATAAAAAGGAATGAGACAGCGGCTTGGCCGCTTGCTTGATTACCGTAGTATATTCCAGGCCTAAGATGCTCCGTGTTAATAATGGGCCTGAGGCGTACAAGGTCACGCCTGAAACACATGAGGCTTCATGGAGCTTAGAAATGTAAATACATTTATGGAATAACTCATTAAAAAACTGAATATCGTCGCAAAGTTGATGGAGTTTACGGGATGATCTGAAAGTTATTG